GATGGATGGATTGGATGGATGGACGGATTGGATGGATGGATGGATTGGATGGATGGATGGATGGATGCCTGCCCGCCCGCCTGACAAACTTTCTCCTGGTTCCGCGGGGATTTCAGTGGCTCTGGAGTCTCTCTCTGCATTTGTGCGTCTGGGTCTGAAAACCTAGGTCATGAAGGGACGAGACATCGAGAGAAGAAGCTTTTATTAGTTCAGAGGGGTGAGGGGAGATGGGACAGAACTCCCGAGGAAACAGCTTCAAGAACTGTGCCTCTTAAATACAGAAGAAATTTTGTCACTAACCGCAGTCACATCTATGTGAACGTGTAGCCCTTCAGAGTGTGTAACCGAGGAGCGGCCCGTCCTCGTGAGACAACTGGGCAGTTCCTACCTGCACCCATGCAGAGAGAGGCCACCTCCACTGCAGCACCGGAGGACAGCCCGGTTTGTCACTAGTCTGTAAACAAGCCTCCACCGAAGCAGTGGTACAGAGTGTGTACGTGCCGCTTGCAGGGGTCCACAACCAGGTAGGCGAAAGTCTGATGGTGGCTTTTGCTTGAAGGGTAACACAGGCCATTAATGTCCTGAGAGGGAGTGGGAAAAAAAACCACAGTATTAGCGACAACGTCGTTGCCCACGAGAGGTTCATGAAATCTGACTGAAATTATAATTTTGTTCCAGTTGTAACAGTTTATTTAATGGCAAAATAGAATAAATACACCAGGGTTTATTTCAGCAGTGTTACGTCTCCATGAGGATCCTGGCACTACAAAGTGCACGGTTGTTCTGTCTGAATAGTTCCAGTTACCTTGAGGTAAATGTAAAATTAATATAAAATGTAAAATTAAAATAAAATGTAAAATTAAACATATAAGCACGTGTTTACACAATTAGATCCTGGAATACAAATGATAAAATGATCCAATTGTGTTTCCTTTGAAAAAGGATTTAAGAACTCAATACATAAAGCTGCTCTATAAGCTGAAAAAAAAAAATCTGTAAAGCTGACTTTAAACTGAAAGAGGGATATTTAGATTAGACATTAGGAAGAAATTCTTCACTATGAGGGTGGTGAGACACAGGAACAGGTTGCCCAGAGAAGCTGTGGCTGCCCCATCCCTGGCAGTGTTCAAGCCCAGGTTTTATGGGCCTTGGAGCAACAAGGTCTCCCTGCCCATGGCAGGCGGTTGGAACTGGATGACCTTTAGGGTCACCTCCAACCCAAACCAGACTGGGATTCTATGAGTAATTCTTTTTCACTGAACATTTGCTACTGCATCTGTTCAGTTTCAAATGTTTGTGTTTAAGGAAAGCCCCCATTACAGCTCTAACTAACAACTTTGAGCCATTACTGAACACATTCTGTGTGCCAGTCCTTGGAAGGGTCTGGAGGGAGCCTAGGCACAGCACCTCGCTCCCAAATCCTCATTCTGAAAAACCATGTTGGGCTGACAACCGATGCAAGAACTGGGCTATTTAGTTTCATACCCTGCATGTGCACATGTCAATAAAAGCTTTAGTGTTGACAGGGCAGCACAGCTTGGCACATGCCTCTAATCCAGTCAGGATCCAATAACTACACGGGGAATTTTGGAGGGTTTACGTTTAGTCTGGTAATTGAACATTTGAAAGTTCAACAAATACGTGGCTGATACTTCCTTTCATTTAAAACCTGAATGTCTCCTCCTGCTCCCCAGCACCTTCGTACAGCAGTTGAAGAGATGAGGTTTCTGCTCCACTTTTCCATCTGAGGGAAATTGCTATATTGCGTATATTGTCCATTTTCTCCAGGAACGTTTTAAACTGCCAGATCAAGGACTATTCCAGATTAGAGACACATCTCACACGTTCTTTTGTTGCATAAAACAATCCATCTTTTACTGGGCCAAAGAAACATGCAAACTGTAACATCTCTCCATGGTTAAGGCTCAGCTTAGAAGGAAAAGGTCTGGGTTCCTATTTCTATCCCAAGAACTACTTTTTATGGTAAATTTTATCCCGCGGCTGTTAGTGGCACTCCATTTTATCTCTTGGTGTTTCAAAGAGGATGACCCCCTTCTGTATGTTCTGGTATCTCCCTTTGGGGGACTATTCAACATCCTAAATCTTAAATTAGGGTAAGCACCACCATACAAGCATTGTTTAAGATGGGTAGAGATTTGACAATGCTTCTTCACAGCATTTTCCAATGGTAGTCAAATGCTGAAAGCCAGAAATAGCATGCTGGTTTTAAGCAACACAACTTAAGTGCAGTGAGGAGAGCAAGCTGCAAGGTTTTACCAGTACTCAGCATCGCAATGCCTTTGGACCTTGATCCATACTAACCTAAGCTCATGCACGAAACTGGAAAAGGAGCAAGACAAGACCAATGTCAAGATGTGGTTGCTAGTTAAACATTTTCCCATTGCTACTGAAGATCCCCTTCCTGCAGTCCTTATGGAATTGCCCTATGTCAGTTGAGGTTTTGGCTGTTTAAAGGCAGTGTTAGTACATTAAAAATTTGTTCAAGAACAAAAATGAGTTAGGTTCTAGTGATGAGGCATTTCAAGAAACTCCAGAATATACCAAAGCTGGTATCAGGAAAGTAATAAATACATTCTAATTGTAATGAAAACTATTCTTAAAATTATTTTAATTAGTAAAAGAGGTCATAAACCCCCTGAAATACTTGAGCATAAAGGCTCTGGAGTTTACGCAGACTTACTCTGCTTTTTAGAGTAATAGGGTGCATGTACACAAATTAAGAATAACACCAATGCCATCTGCAGTGTGGACTTCAGACATGCAGGGGTATAGTGATTGATTTACTGATGTGAGAGTAGGATCAGTTTATTTTTGCTTTGTAGGAACTCAGGTAATCAGCTGATGATCTAAGAGTACATACACAGCAAAATCCATTACATAATACTGAAGTAAAGATACTGCTGAACATCTCTTAAACCTGAACCATTTAATAAACATTATTTTTGGAACACACCATGCATTACACTGATTTATAACACTGCTATAGTTTGGATTCAGCTAAAGGAAGTTCTAAACTACCAGTCAGCATCCAATCACTTCAGCTTTAACAAGGGTTCAATATATGCAAGCCCCAAAGCTCTCAGGGGTATTTGGAGTTCCACAGAGTACTTGGACACAAGATTTAAAACTCTTTCTCTTGTGATGCTTAGGTCTATCAAGTTGTGATGCTAAACAGATCTGCAGACATGTATAATTACACCTTAATACCTGGAAATACTTACATCTCTAATAGCAGGCTTTTTTAGATATTGTTTCCAAAACAAGGGCTTCTTAGCCACAGCTTAAAAACCAAATGAAAAGGAAGGGATGGTGTCAGGATGGTGTTACATACAGTTCTTAATCCCCAATTCCATTTGTACTTGTGCAAATACGCAAGTATATATATTCATCCGCTTATTAATCCAGCTTGCAAAAATGTGTGTTCTTCTGGCTTCTCAGCAGCTCAAGTCACTTTGACCAGAAGAGCTTTTCATTATTTCTACCAGACTAAGAGGGTGTGACAATTTCTTTCAGATACAAACCAAGACAACAAGCAATTTTAAAAACTGTCAGCTCAACATTCACATTATAACAACATACTCTACAGTTTTTTACCAGATGAAGTCAGAAACTAAACCTACTTTTCATCACCAGCACAAGACATGTGTAATCCAGTAGGTACCCCTCCTGTAATTTCCAAGTAGGGTTTAAAGAACTTTGGTCCACATAGCTATCACATAATCTAGACATACCCATTTAAGCCTTTCTCTATTCTGAGAGAAAATTCTTCAGGATGTTTTAATGGAAACCAGAATTTCACAACTCTCCTTCATGTCACAAATGTTCAGAATGTGCAGGAAATCTCAATTTTCCCCCAAGGTTACAGGGAGGAGAGCCTGCTCTGGATTTACACTGGATTTTCTGTTGTCCATCCATGGTTTTGTTTCAAAAAGTTGCCGAAGTCTGTCTTTTCCTTTTCTCTCTTCCTTTTCTCTTCTCTATTCTCCTCCTTTTCTCTTCTCTCTTCTCCTCTTCTTTTTCTCTTCTCCTCTCCTCTTCTTCTTCTCATTTCCTTTCTTTTTTCCTCTTCTTTTTCTCCTCTTCTCCTTTCCCTTCTTTTTTTCTTTTATTTTCTCTTTATACTGATGGTATTTAATGCATGGCAAAGACAGTTAGGGAAACACTTAAAAAATATCATTCATCTACCTAAACGTAGAAACCTGTGAAGTTCACATCAATACATTTGATTCAGGGATGTGGAGGAAACAGTAATAACAGAAGACCACCAAGTTATCAGGGTTTTGCTTTCTGATTTTGTTTTTATTACAGTCTGCAACCTAAAAGAAAGGTAAATTTTGATACTCCCATAAAATGCCTATTTTCAAAAACCTTTCAAAAGCCTTTTATGAATCACACATAATACTTAACAGACCATGACCCACAGGTGAACAACTGGGCTGTTGGCAGCTTACAGGGAAGTCTGAAATGACATCAGCTAGTTCTTTTGAAAGCAGGTACATTATCTGACATTTAATTATTACATATTCTGGTTACTCAAGAAGAATTTGGAGGAGTTCATCCTACTGTAACACTTAAATGACAGATAGGCTGAATCTAGTAAACATGCAGCCAGTTCTCAGACTTATCTAGATGGTAAATGTATGCTTTTGCAAGAGAAACAGATAGGAATGAGACTTGACAAGGGAGGGGAAAAGAGGTGAATAGTCATCTCACCTCCCCAGCCTTTCTGTATGCTAAACTTCGCTGAAGTCTTTACAGAAACAGATGTGACACAAGCTATTTGGAAAGCTCTAGCAATATTCCTAAAAACAGAGCTATACAAAGTCAAGAGTGGATTCTTAATCCTTACTGCTACCTCAAATAGATCTAAATCCAGAATTACTCAGACCTAAAGATAGGTTTTTTTCACAAACTAGTTTCTGGGTGACTATTACAACTTCAAGTATAATCCAGTAAACCTATTTTTAGTGAACTAAAAAGTAAAAACTTAGTTGGTGACTATTGATGAAAAGTTAGCAAAGAGGACAAGAAAACAGGATGAGATCAGAGTTTTTGAATAAAAAGTAACAACTATGGAAAAATAACCCTTTAATACGGAATATTATGATTTCTTTGTGTATTTTCATGTTATGCATGTTACTTCCAGTAAAATATTGTACTAAAAACTATTAATACTTACATATGCAGACACTCTGAAGACTGTAGAAATAATACTTATTTCTTTTGTTTCAGGATTCTTTTGAACACTGAAATACAGGGGAATAATACATACTTACTACATACAGTGGGAAATAATATACTTAAAACAGACAGTAAGCACTGATTATTAAATCCTACATTTAATAAATACATTTTTAATGTATGTATTGTGTTCCTGCTCAATTTTATCAAGACAACGTGGATATCACGACATCTTACTGAAAACTGTTGAATATGTCTTGTCAGCTGAATTGGTTCTACTGTTTTCATCTACTAAATCACAAGAATATTAGCCAGGCCTAGATGACTCCAATATAAAGTTTGCGTTTTGATAGCTGTGAGAACTTATTCAGTTAAACATTTGGTGAAAATCTTTTCACATATTCTTTAAGAAAAAATAACACAGTACTGCATCTTAATACAGAGCACAAGAAGTAGTGGCAGTATTGGTGAAGAAATTCAGACTTTAGCTCATTTTAAATTAATATAGAGTTATAGTTTAGGTTCATTTTTTCTCCTTTGGAATGTTGCATATATAGACAGCTGTGCAACTAAGGATGGTATTAGTTCTGAATTTTTACATTTCTAGACTGTTGTGAAGACTGCCATTTCTTGCATCACAATCACTAATAATATTAAGATATTATTGCAAATATCCAGGCATCTCAACATATTTTACACTTAAGTATTTTTAAATCTGTGATTTTTCCTCAGGTCTGCTTTAAGTGATGCTTACATTTCTTCATAATTTACATCATGTAACTTCTATTAATTTATCTAATTTCACAGATCCCTATTTACATTAACACATTGTGGAGCAGTTGAGCCTTATAAATTCCAAACTTGCGCAGTTCCAAGAAGTGCATGGCTCAAAGCCTGCCTTGTCACAAACAGGTTCAGTTCCCAGAAAAAGTCCCAATATAGCCCAGTAGCTGGAGTATGTGTGCTAAACACAGCCCAGTTTAACCACACCAGCTCAAAGCCATCTGTGACAGCAGTCCGCTACTACCACTGCTTTTGCAAAGCTTCTTCTTTTAGGAACAAACCCCAAATCAACCAACATCATCTTTGCTGATTCAATCTCTCCAACTAATAAAAGAAATTGACTCTCTGATTAACCGATTTCATCTGTAGAGTAATGACACAGTCACATATGAATTAAGCCTCTACTGTGGAGTTGATCTTTCCTGTGATGAGTCAGTAAGGAAGCTTTCTCAGAAACTTTTGTTGCAGCTGGCATGTTGATATACTCAACAGTAGATTGAGACAGCATTGCTGAAGCTGGTACTGACCCCCATTGTCTGCTGTACTACCCCTCGGAGAGCACTGCCTTCCCAGCAGGAACAGCTCAACTGGCTCATGACTCAGCTGCAGTTTACAGTCCAGCATATTAAGATAAACTAACAGAGATACCAGTTTATGCTAACGTATCAGGCTGTAAACCACAGCAGTTCAGAAGGTCTTTAACCAATCTCTGCTGAAAGAGTGACAACTTTAAGGACAAGGTATAGGCGGGGTATATAGTGGGGTCAGCACTTCCTACCATATATCACCACCCCAAAAGATACAGTTGCTTTTAAGTTGCTTTTTAATGCTTCACATTCTTGTTTTCAGTTTCTAGCTTTTTAATTTTTATGTTCTGTATAACTAGAATACCAACGTAGGGGCTGACTAAGAGTAAGCCTTCCTAGTTATCCTACTGCCTTGAGAAATTTTCCCCTTATGGTTAGCTTCCTGTAGGTCATTTTTCAGACTGTTTATTTCTAGTACTTTGGTTAATTTTTAAGGCAAAAGAATATATCTGCCAAAATCAGATGAGATTCTTCCCTTGCTGACTTGAGAGAAACCAGGAGGTTGCCTTTGACAAAATTATTTGCTTTATTTCTTCTTTACTTTTTTTCTAAAAGGTTTTAGAAAACACTACCTTGTCCTCTTGAAGAGGATAGTGCTGCCTTAAAAATAGCCTTCATCCCCCACTTTCTTCTTTCAAATTGTTAACTTGCAAAGTATCCACCAAATATGGTGGTTCCTTCATCATTTTAATGTGTATCTATTCTCCTTTTATGAAGAGCAAACTTCCTCATGGTCTCTCAATTCATTTTGGGTTCTATTTATATCTTAACCTTACTGGCAATATTTTATTAGGGTTACAATTGTTAAAATAACAATTCTTTCAGTAAATTGATTTATTACAGGGTAAAGGGCATGGAGATGGCACAGAAGGAAGAAGAGGACAATGACTACAAGATACTGCAGCAGCTGTCACCCTGGAGAGACACTGCCAGAAAAATCAGCGGTTAAGTACAGAAGACAAGATTTAGCAACAAAGATTTGCAGATTATATTTTAATTAACAAGGTTTTGTCATGTAAATATATTTTAACTAAACCAAAATACTACAACAAGGATGTTGAAATTATTTAGGTTATACAAGTTATGACAAGATATGGTGTCCTCAACATAAGAAGGACATGGAGCTGTTGGAGCAAGTCCAGAGGAGGGCCACAAGGATCATAAGAGGGCTGGAGCACCTCCCGTATGAAGACAGGCTGAGAAAGTCAGGGCTGGAGAAGAGTTCAGCCTGGAGAAAAGAAGGCTGTGTGGAGACCTCATAGCAGCTTTCCAGTATCTGAATGGTGCCTACAAGGATGCTGGAGAGCGACTCTTCATCAGGGACTGTAGTGATAGGACAAGGGATAATGGATTTAAACTTAAACAGGGGAACTTCAGGTTAGATATAAAGAAGAAGTTCTCTACTGTAAGGACGATGAGGCACTGGAACAGGTTGCCCAAAGAAGCGGTAAGTGCTCTGTCCCTGGCAGTGTTCAAGGCCATATTGGACAGAGCCTTGGGTGACATGGTCTAGCATGAGGTGTCCCTGCCCATGGCAGGGGGGTTGGAACTAGATGATCCTAAGGTCCTTTCTAACCCAAACCATTCTATGATTCTATGACACTTAACGCTAAAATTCTGGATGGATTCAACTGGTCACAGACTAATCACTGCTGGATTTGTAAGAGATAGCAAGTTGTGTATTAATTCATTAGGAAGGAAATATTACTCTTTTTATGAAGGCGAAAATACCTGCTATTTAATAGCTGTATTTGGAAGTCCCCAGCTGGGCTTGTAAAATATACAGAAGGGTTAATTTCAAAAGATGATTGCATTCTTTCATAATAAAGCACTATACATGGAAATGCTTTCATAAAATGATATCTCAAATCTTTTGCCACTATTTTGAACACTGGCACCTTGGAGTTAGAACTCAGGAAAGGACAGAGAAAAGGCTGTAAGAAAAAGAAGTGGGGGAAAACTATGATCTTGATTCTATAAAACCCGTACCAACTCTGCCACTCTCAGCACTAAAGACACTTTTGTGGGTGTGCTTATGCCAAGGCTCTTTTCCATAAGAAAGCTGTTACAGGAGCAAGCAGTGGTGGTTTATACCTCTACAAGCATATCACTATTAGATATATTTCATCTGTGGGGGCTAATTTTTCAATGTACATCAACTAGCAGCTAGTAATTATTGCACTATCCATTTGGTTTTCACCAAGGCTTCGGAGCCCTCAAGACATAAAAATTAAAGTTTAAGAAGAGTACAGTTTACAGAATTTTTAATATCATGAGAAATCTTTAGTATCACTTTACAATAAGTATCCAATGGGGTTGCAATCCAAGATGAAAAGAAAACAGAGGACAGCATTCTAAAAAACAATTATTTAAATTTTTGGTATTCAACAGAAATTTGAACATCATCTGTTTGGTGACCAGAATTTAAGAGATCACTAATCTCATTAGCAATTGTTTACTGAAAATAAGAGGCCATAAGAAAGTAATTTTCATTGCTTTGTTTTCTGGTACAATTTGTGCAAAAATGAAGTAACACAGTGCACATCCCTCTTCAGAGTTGCATTACTTATCCTTTCACTGGCCTTTTCTCTCTTAAGATGGTGGTAACAAAACACCAACATAATTTTGGATAAACTGGGGGCAGGTAGAAATGAGACAAAGCAGGAGACAACAGTGATTGTGAAGGGGAGGGAAAGTCTGAAATGTCAAGATCAAAAGTTTTTCTCATGGGTCCAACGGTACCAAAGGAGCAAGAGAAAAGATATAGTTAAATTTTGAGTTTCTTTTTCAACTAGTGGTCAGTGTTAACACCAGCTCCGCTGACAGTGAGAAATCAGCAGGCATTGTAGGCACAGAAATGGAGACACACATGGCAGGTAGATACTGAAAATCAGTTATGTCCCATGAACTGAGCAGACGTATTTCAGAACTTCGGAGAATAAGGAAGCTGCCAACTGCGAAAACAATCAACCAAACATTCAAACACCAAAACAACAGAGGAATGTGTCTGGAGAGAAGCAGCAGCACACAAGAAAAATCACAGAAATATGAAAAAGGCCAATAGGGAACAAGTTGAGGGTATAGAAAAATCAAACCTTGAAAGCAGCATGAAATTGTGGAGAAGAGTTTGGCAGATTTTATTTTTTTAGTAACGAAAAGTACTTGACATCGTCACCAAATTTACATCAGGTAAAAGAAAAATAAGGGGAAAAGGTTTAAGGAGATAGAAGGGTAAAGAAAAGGAGTGGTTTAGAACAAAACTTGAACAAGTTTAGGAGAAAACAACTCAACGGCAGAGGGAAGCAATAAAGCGGAGGAACTGACTGGATTTGTGTGTTGTTCTAGGTCAATTCAACAACACAAGAGCAGAAACAGCTGTAGTCAATGCAGTCAACTGAATCCAGGGATCAGAATAACAAACAGCTTGTTCCTAGTGCAGTGCACCATTTAAAAGAAAAGGGAGAGTAGAGTTGGAGCACTAATGGATCCTGTTATGTCATATTCTATGTTTCTGAGGAACCCACTTGATTTCCATACGTATGATATGAAAATATCAAAACTAATCAGACTAATAAGAAAGCTCTGGTGACTAATCACAGTATTCAAATTCATACATGCAGCAATCTAAGTTCATTATTTCTAAACCATCTTCTTGGAATATCACTAACACTCCATCTCTGTTTCCGTGGTTTCTCTAAAAGTATCAACTGTTCTACTGCTACTTTGTTCACTTCTTCTGGAGGACCCTGGGGAAGAGCATCTGACTAAATCAACTTGCACCCCGAAAAGTACTGACCATTAAAAAAATCTGAAAGCTGCTTTGAAGTTACTAAAGATCTGTAAGCTGCTTTGGTTAAGTATTAGAAAAAAATGCCCAAACCAGCCAAATATTTTGTTTTAAATATTTAATTTGGATACAGCAATCTATACACAAGTGGTACAGAAGTAAAGAAATATTCAGGTGATGAAGAATTACTGGGTCTAATCCTTTCACTGTATCTTTTTTCAGACATAAATTTTACTTTTAAGTTTATCCAAAGACATTTTAAGAACAGACTTAATGACGAATACATCTTGCACAATTTTTTCCCTAATATGCATGCGTATAATCTTAAAATAGGACATAAAATAACATTTGGCCACCGCACCATTCCAAACACAGCTGAGAAGGGAGAAAAACAGCAGTTCGTACTTGAAGTAATTTGAAGCCTTTGTAGTGTACGTTGCTGTGCATCACCTAGTATCTACATTAGCAGAGTTCTTGTGCTATCTCTCATTTCAGAGGTCTGTGATTGTTTTCCATTGTTCAGGTTAATATTGTTCTTACAAATACTTATTATTAGTGGCAAATAGTAATATAATGTCAAATTTTAGTAGTACCATTCATGAACTTCATATTCCCATTAGCTCAGCTGGAAATGAATCTTTGCATAACTGATAACTACATTCCATTTCCCACTAATCGGGAAAGAAGAAATTTTGTCAGTTGGAGAAGTCAAGATATAGATATACCAAAAAAGGAAAAAAAATGCCTTTTTTCCCCCAGATCTGAACCTGTGATCAATCATCTCTGTTACACAGTGTTTTAATAGTTGAAGATGAATAAGGTTGCATATTGATTAAATAACAGCCCCATTCCTGAAGCAGTAATGCAAATGAATTTACACAAATTGATACAAAGTATCTATATGTATGCATATGTATGCAGTGCATAAACATGCAATTGTATAACACAGAGACACTTACCTCACCAAGTCTTTATAAAATGCTTTTGTAGTTTCTAAGTATAGGACAACTGCATCTTCAAACTGGCAAAGAGTTCCTCCAATGCAAAGGTGCTTAAAAAGACAGAACAGAAATTCCTGGCGGTCCAATGGACTGAATATGTCATAATGGTCTGAATCTTCCAGAAGCAAGACCTTATGGAACAAGAAAATAACAAGGAGGTGAAGTAAATAAAATTTCTTATTTGAGATTAAGTTTATAAACAATGCAGCTACTTTGCTGTATGTCACAGAGTTTATGTCTATATAAAATAAATGAAAGAGGTGGAAATAAATAAGTACTCCAGTCTAAATTCTTCTTCCAATGATGCAGTTATGTCCAAAATTTATAGATAACAATATAAAGCGGAACCACTGTCAGATGTGTGCCCACAAGACCTAAGGAAAGATTTTTTCAAGAGTCTTGTTTTTCACTGGTTAGTTGCTCATCATGCTAACAGAACAGTCAATAATCTGCAAATGAACTACCTGTATTTCACAGAATGGTTTGGGTTGGAAAGGACCTTAAGATCATCTAGTTCCAACCCTGCTGACATGGTCAGTGACATCTCACACTAAACCATGTCACCCAAGGCTCTGTCCAACATGGCCTTGAACACTGCCAGGGATGGAGCATTTACCACTTCTTTGGGCAAAGAAGAAGATTTGGCATGTCAATTACTGCCACTTAATTTGTCTCTATGATTTGGTAACTTTGCCTTTTTTATGGCAAATATGCTTTTTTACTCTAAGTTTACACAGTTATCTCACATTTGTAAAGGAATCCCAAGGATCCCCCAGGGAAGATCACTCAAACTCACACCATTCTTTAGTGCAGACTCCAGTGAGCCTTTATCTGCAGGCTGGAATTAATCAGACATGCTATCCAGCTGCCTCCATATGTCTCACCTGCCTTTTGCTGCAATATCATGGCAACACAGAGGACATGCTAGATTAGCCCCAACTGCACACCCTGGTAAGCAGGGACAGGAATTGTAACTCAGTGTGGTACAAGGCCCTTTAGTCACATCAGCCAAACTGCAGATGCCAGCCCAGACAAATGGGTGAAAGCCAGACATGAGCTCACTGCTCTCTGGCCCTCTTTATAACATCATTACACAACCTGAGTAAAAAGGGTTCAAGGCAGAAACTGTTGTTGATGGCCACTTCATACGTATCCCAACTCCCTTCTTGGTTTGAAGCAAGAGAAGACATGGCAGGTAGGAAAGAGAGGTGGAGTTCTGCAGCAGACAGACAGTTTCTGCCCCCTACAGTCTGCCCTCCCACGGCGCTGGCTGAGTCAATCTCAGGTTTTAACTGAAGTTTCGTTTCTGGAAGATTTTGACTCTTAATTCTTTCTGCCATCTTAGGTCTTACAAGTAGGAATCACATTTATTTCAAATAAATGTGACTCCTTCAACTTGCAAATGCAGACACATACATCGTTTCCAAAGGAAGGAAAATGGAAAGAGACTGAAACTCCAATTATTTCTTATTTTAAATGTTGCCTCTAACTTTCCTACATCCAATATACTTAATTTTCAAAAGACATTTCACATGTACCCAACTTACAAATAAATACTTACTATTTTGAACTGTTAGACTATAAATCACATCTGAAATTCAAACACGAGCTTGAGTTCTCTCCTTTTCCCAGAACTTTACAAGACAGACCAGTATTTCAGGCCACATCCTGTAACCAGTGTCACCGGTTCAAATACATTGCCTTCAAAGGATTTGCCAAGAGCAAATGAGTGCAACTCTGTAATTATTAGGTGCTTATGTTGATTATATATACAAGGAAGAGCAAAATCCAGTTCTCCCTCACTATCCTTTGCTAAACAAACATAACTTCAAAAAAAAAAAATTGTTTTACTTATGAAGTAAAAAGAAACACTTATAAGGAAGACATATGTTGATTAAGAAGGTGCCATTGAGAGAGAGATTCTTTTTCAGAATAATCTGCTCTCTGACACCTCCACTGGAGTATAACCAACAGGGTTTACCTTGAAAGCCTGTTCAGGGGTTATATTTAGTCCTTTTCAAATGTGCACTGAAACATAATTTCCCTTCTCGTGGTTTTCTCTCCTTTGTTTTGGAGACAAGACATGAAGATGACTTTCCTTAATTGTCTTTACATACAATATAGTCAGCATTCCCAGCCATGAATGCTTCAGAATGTAGCTATTAAGTACATTCAATTTCATCTACTACCTGGAAGGTTGGATGAACCAACAATTCTGGGTATCATAGAACCTTTCCATTGGCACCACTTGTTTTCCCCTCCTAGGCAAATGAGTAGCTGCATTCTACCCACACACATCCCCAAACACTGATTATGTGAGACAAGAGCCGATAGAAGGTAGTTTTGCCTTTTTCTCCCACCTAAAGAGGAAAAAAGGTCCACCTGGAAACCAGCATTGCTTTCACACATTCAGGCACTGCAGTGCCTTACTCATTTCAATGTCCATTTTTACCATGGAAAATACATATTGTCAGAAAAAAAACCTCACTGAAAAAAACGTGTCCTTATGGTACCTAATAGAGTATGAAAATTATAAGAAATTATTCATTGATATACTAACCTTTCTTAATTCATCAGAGATGAGAATATCACCATAATAGTCATCATAACATTTTACAATATCTCCATTTTCTCTAACAATTCCTTCAGAGTAGAGCCGATCAAAAAATGACATGGAAATCTCTGTACAGGGCACCAGTGTAGCTTCAGTTTTTGTCACTTTGGAACCTGCAATATATAGGAAGGCTTCATTCCAAGTCTTTTGCAATAAATAAAATGGGTGAATTTCCATGTACTAATGGTTTTACACTAATTTGATACAGTATGGAAATAATCAACTTCTCTAAATGGTACAGATCACATAAGTATGACTCAGTCACAGAGTCCCTCAGAAAACAAAGCAAGCTAAGAAAGAAACAAGCGTAAAGAAAACGTTCAATTCATCTGAATGATAGTTTCCATTAAGGCTCATGTGTCTGCTCCCCCTGTTGGTAATACTATCAGCCGGCACAAGTGACAGATGAAACACCGTGTGAACTCAACAGCACGTGAGATCACACCCTTAGAAAAACACATTCCACAGCTTAAGCCTTAAAGACTCTGAGGACAAATACCAGATTTGGCCTGATGAAGTACAAAAGTCAATAACTTCTAACAGCACCCCACAAAGTAAAACCCAAAGTGAACACAACCCTTACGAATTTTTGGTTTGTTAAGTATTATATCTGCTCTTAAAAAGTTATGTTGTAGGCACTGTAAGCTTTACTAACCAGCTATTTCAGAAGATAAAAAAGGTATTATCAGCGCCTCCCGTATGAATCTGGAGTATTACCTCTGTACTCATTAAGTGCTGAGTACGTTTTTCTATCATTTTGCTGTTTTCGGTGCTTGCAAGTGATCCAAGGCTTGATCCTGTTGCTTGTAAACATCTAGTGGCATTTGAGATACCTTACAGTATTTTCCTTAATTAGTCCATAAGGGCACATATCTTCTTTACATACAGTGTTACATCTACAAATCTGTATGTGTGGTGTTGGGTAACTCATGGCATCTCAAATAACGTTAGACTCAATGTTTAGGAAACTTCGGACTCAGTCCAGTTCCGTCTGATCTCTATGATCCAAGTGTACAGACCAAATGCTAGAACATAATCTCTGCTCATCTTCAAGTTCCCCTGAACACCCTTCAAAGTGTTTTTGGACAGCAGAGGGGAGCACAGGAGAGCATGAGCACAAGTGAATATGCAACACAAGAGCAATGTGCCTCAGCAGAGATAATATTCACAGCATTACATCTTTCCATGACTTTTCTCCTCTGCAGGTTCCCTTGATGGGAGACTGGTCAACAACATCACAATATCAAAAGGCTTTTGACCAAACAATTAAAGATAAAATTAAGTGTCCTGACAAACTGACCTAAAGGATCACTAAAGGCTAGAGTTTAGGAAATGTCCAAATTGCACCCTTGATGGCAGTATTTCAGGAACAGAAACATGCCAAAAAGGGATGATGCTTCCCAGAATGTCATTTCATTCTCATCCTAATCTTTGCAAGTGTAGCATAACTTAAAATTTCTCTTCCCCCAGAAAAACCTCTCTGGGATTTCTTCCATACATTATTACATGGAGATGGTTTATTCATAGGTTAAGTAGGGCTAGCATTTTGGTATCTAAGCCACCTTATCTGTGCCACCTGCCTCATCAACACTAAGAAAATAATTAAAAAGAAGTTACAAGTTGATGGCTTGAAAATGTGTCCACTTAAGCTAAAAATACTGTCAAGAAACTTTATAATTATTTTATTGGGCCAACATGATGTAAAGAAAATTGGCTACAGAGAAAAGCTCGGCATTTAATGGCCTGGCTTCGCATCTACAGGTATGACTATGAAAAAGGGTACCATTTATTAAAGAAAAAAGGTTTAGAACATTGTCCTACCTGTCCACATAGTGACTATCAAAACATAATCAAATTATGTAATCAAAATCACAAGTCAGAAAAAAACCCACGGCTTACAGCCTCACAACCTAAGAAAAAAGAGCAAACTGCTATTACTTGATTTGTGCTTCCTCCCACCACCTCACCTTCAGACTCCTCTAACTTCCAATTCTCCAGCTTTCTTTCACAGGGATAGAATTTTTATTTTGTAAGAGTTTTAATAAGAGCCAAATCAGCCTCTAACATAAAAATTGTTTGGTAAAGACCTACGGATCAAAAACTAATAACAATCAGATGTTAAATAACTTAAGAAAAACAGAAACATCTTATATTTTCCTAGTTACTGAGCTCAAAGTATGAGAAACTGAGCCTTCAAATTGTTAGGATTTTACTGGGGGAGGGGGAGGAAAGGAGACACATTTCTGCTCTGAAACAAGATTTTATAAAAACTTTCATGAGGAAAAAAAATAATAAATCCAAGAACCTTGTAATCTATTCAGTAGTTCAGAAAACCAAACTATAAATGGAAAAGTTTAAATACACTGGAATACACAATGGAGAATAGTCTCCATTTGAGAGGTGAGATTTGAAATTGGAGATTCAGAATTTCCTGGAAGAGAGTGACCTGTTTTAATAACACTGTAAAAGTGAGCAATAAAATAGGAAGAAGAAATGCCTTGACAACTCTGCAAGTGGAAAACAAAGATCTGAAAAGTATCGAGCAGTTTAAGCTTCTTACAACAGCTACTTCTGGAATATCTATGCTGCCAGCATACTTTTAAATGAACACACTGCATATCTAGTATGTGGCAGATAAACCCCAAATTAGGTACACTGAGAATTCCTCTAAAGTTTAAGAAAGATTTTTACCCCAGGGAAACACTTGCAACTTACTATTTACAAAACAGTTTAGATAAAACATACACAATGCCCATACAGTGCTCTGTACTAAAAAGATGGTATTTCAAAATTAAAAGGTGCAGGTTGCTGATTTATAGGTTCAAATGACATCTAAAATTTTTGCAAATTATAACCTATAACAGTAGTCTAAAAACTTGCTGATTTAAGATTATCTTCCAGATTTTAAAATCCCATTCCAAAGACAGCAATTGTTAGAGCTTCAAGTACATATGGCAGAATCCTTCTTAGGCAAATACTGAGTTTTTATTTGCACAGAAAGACAGTAACCCTATCCCTTTGAAGATATCTTTTCAAGTGTTAATTGAGCATAAGCAGATACAGTCCTGCCTCCGCAAGACTGCTGACAGGTGTAAGACCAGTAATGTGTCCAAGGAAAAAACTGCAAATTTTCATTGCAGCTATTTAAAAATACAAATCTCAAGACTTAAGTTGGCATGCATCAAATTTGTTCCTTTTGCTGCTTCTGTTTTTTAAATAGGAGAGTAACAGATGAAGGAAGGGAGGTGGGGGGTTATAGCACATGACAGAACTATCAATTACTTTGCCATGCAGTTAGGAAGAGAGGAAAAAATATCCCTACTACAACAGGCAAGAAAGTGTGGTATGAGAATAGGTCATTAAGAATCTGTCTGATGAGATGAAGTATGCTAGAGAATATCCTTGTGCATTGTTTACCTAAAATGTTGAATTTCAAGGAGTGTTAAAGCTGGAGTCCTTGAGACAATGTACTATTGTTGGATTCCACCAGGAATCCCAACATGTGGGGCAGCTAAGAAGAGAGGTACATGTTGCATTCCATGGGACACCATGTTCTATGCCACCTTTTAATCTAACAGAGGGAGACTGAGCATATTACAGTCTGATAACATGATGGTGAGGATGAAAAGCAGTCAAGAGAAATAAAAATGAGATTAGACATAGGGGAAAAAAAGTAATAAAGAACTTTTAGGAACAGACCCTAACATTTTTGTTCACAAGTTTTTGAATCAACCTAGATTATGCAATATTTTTCGTATTTTCTGAAAAGTAAAATAATCCCATTTCCAGTATTTTCTTTCAAGAACAGGATAAAAGAGTTACTCCACAGTTGTAAGTAAATAGTGTATCTGGATTAATATACTAGTATGTCTGAAGAAGATAATACTAGAAGATGATCTTTCACCTCCTCCCACTCAAAGCTAATTCTTACTATATTTTCAAAAAATGCATGTGAAGACTAAGTATAGAAAAATGTGCCAACATTCCTCACCAAAAATAGGCAAAGAACGGGAAGATGAAATTTTAAGAGCAAATGGGGTATACCAGCTGTTCAGGATTTAGAAAGAGAACCCTTCCAGTCCTCAGAACGAAATGTTATTACTTCTGTGCTGCGGAAGACTGAGCAGAATCAGGAGCTAAGCTGAAATACTTGGCAAGTGACCCTCCACTCTTCACGCAAGGTATGTAACCTACTGACCTGCACTACAGGGACTGGCAAGTCCTACGCTAGACAGACAGCCTAAAGAAATTCCTGGCTAAAGCAGCAAAAGGTTTACCCATAGTTTGAAATACATTTATTTTCTTTCTGCTTGCCAGAATGAAAGAGAGATACCTGAAATGGGACTTGGGATATTTTTTGCATCTTATATATTTCAGTTGTTTTAACAGCCAGATACCATGTTTGGAAAATGTTTTTTTGCTGACAAAAAGGTGTCATGTTTAGTGCCATTGTATATAGTGGGAAAAACCTATGCCAATTCCAGAGAACTGAAATGGAAAAGGTAGAAAATTCCCAAAGTTCATTAATATTTACACACAGTAAAGTATTTGCAGACAAATGAAAAGTACTGAGGATTTCCCACTATGCTCCTTCAAAATATTCCTATTAAAGAAAATCACCAGAGTTCACATTATGCATAAAATCCCATTACATTGTAACATGCAGTTTACATGAAATTGTGTGTCATTTACTTAATCAAAAATACAATTTCAAAGTAGAGCCATAAAATCATATGCTGTTTGCTTTTGGTCATTCTCCTTCAGTGTCTGATCTCCATCTACAGACATTCTCAAGTGTGGTAAGCAGTTAATGATATGGCAACAAACTAGAAGTCAACTTTCTGCCATGATTGCAACTTAAGTAACCTATGACAGGGCTCTTCCTGTGCCTGGATCGTTTTATTGTGCTGATAGTATAGTTACACAAGCCCAGCCGTGTGCTCTATCTAATCTTCTGCCCTCTCAACTTTAGTCTGAAACAGAGCAATAATCTCAGATCTGTCCTAAACTGATTTCATCTACAGAAGAGTGTCTTTCTCCAAATATTATCTGAATAAGATAGCACTGCAGTTCCACAATTAATGCAGTTGATTAGGGCTGGATACATGATTGGGTCAGGTGGATGACATAGACTATTTAAAACCAGTTCTAGGGGCTTGGTTTATGCACTGACGCAGGGGTCAAGAAAAAAAGTGTAAAATCTGACAATTTAGTAACAAACTTAGGTAAGAGTATTTTCTTATTTTTTAGTAGAAGTCATTCTTTAAAACATGTCAACCAGGTAAAGATACACATATAAGAACTGTCATTATTACAAATGGTAAATAGTTACAACACAGCCTTTTTTATTTAAGATTAATTTATTCTAAATTTACCCAATGTAGTCCATTGTCCTGAAGCTGAGAGCAACTTCAAACTGGAGTTCACATTCTGATCATTAAAAAATGCCTACAATATTCAAATAAGAGAGTACAAGTTAATGAAATGAAAAATAAATTCATCATTTATAATGGCTTGGATACTTTCAAAGCAAATTACAAGGATTCAGTTAGTAAGTAGATTCTGTATTATCTTTCAGCTTGAATACTAAATATCACACTACCAAATACACGGGTTTTGTGAAGACAATGTCTTTTACATATCCAAGATATCTTCTTGTATTTACATATGCAGTATTTACAGTAAAGCACTTTTAATCCAAGAACACACAAAGAGATTGCATGAAATCCTTATAGGTACAGAAAATGGAAGAAAAGATGAAAAAATTCTATCTCTGCATTCAATGTTGTTGAAGTAAAAAAAAAGCTAAATATGATTGTAAAATTTAAATTTTGTGGATAAATTTGAAGCTTGGAGAGCTGTAGAGACATATAAAAATTATTAAACAGATGCAGAAGAAATCTGTAAGTTATTGAATGGAGAATAAGTTCCACAGTAAGATTTGAAGTATTCAATCTTAATGATTTATCAATTAAAAAAAAAAAGACATACATAGCAATATTGGTGGCTGACAAGTTTAAATGATAGATAAGCCAATTAAGAAAACCCACAAATATATATGCATACAAGCAGTAAGCTGCTAAGAAAACGATGAATTTTTAAGTCTTTGTGTCACCAAATCTTTTTGCCATGTCTCTGGGATACAGAGAGATCGGACTATATAATGTAATGGTCCCCCTGTTCTCAATGAATTTCAATTTGAATCAACATTTCAAACTGAAACACTTCAATCATTTGAAATGTTTGTCACTGGGAGATGAAATATTGGTGTACTTCTGTGTGAATTTCTTTAAAATAGAAAGAGGCTGAAATCTTTATCCAGGATAACAATATAAAGTAGATGTACAACACATCAAAGAGTTGTTTTTAAAACAACAGATGTAAAAAACATGCTTTTTTAAAAAACACAGATTATTATTTTTTTCTGTCTGCAAACATATGAACAGATTTGACTTTCCAGACAACAAAAGTGAAGGATACAAAATCAGCAAAAGACTTGAGTACCAGAAAGCTGAAAGCCCAAAATTCCAGTGTAAAGCAATGGTATTCCATAAATTTTAAACTCTTGCATTTTCAGATGTATGGTGCATAAGCACATCTATTTGCACAGTATATTTACTATGACAAAGCAGTAATAGCTGTGAGCAAGGTACCAACTGCATGCACGCTGTTTAAAGTCTCTCCCTGGATGGACTTCCCAACATCAACTGCGGTGGCCAAGATCAGCATCTACTCCAGATTCCCATTCTTGGGAATCTTGAATGACTAAATTGTTTCCTCTTACAACAGAGTAACGTTAGTACAGACTAAAATATTTTTACTGGACAATACATTTAACCCACAAAGGAAGTCTTGAGCACCACACCTAAATCAGCTACTTGCAAGGAGACAGTGAGTAGGCGAATAGTGTGCTGAGAGTGCTACAATATTTGCTGTTATTCAGCTTTCCAATGGCTATAATTTCATGGGACAAAAAGTCAACGTAAAATATAACAACTTAGAACTACCGTAACAAATTCATCCTTTTGATAGGGCTTAAACTGCTGGTCAAAACTGAATGCTTGTGCTGTGATCCTGCCTTGCATGGACCTGAAATGATAAAATGAGATTAACTATTCTGCAGACATAATAAGTACTGACTCACTCTGCAAATCTGCGTAGGTACACTACATAAAGTCCTATTCTGACCAATAATTATACTTCTTTATATTTCATTTTTGCCGTTCTCACTTATAACCGGCTCTCGCCCCTTCTTGGAGAGGCAGGGGAAGCCCAACCTCTGCTCAGGCAGCGACAAAGCAACGCTGCGAAGCTGAGGCAGATCTAGGCTAGCTCTGGAAAACAAGGGACAAGCGGTTTACGTGCCCGAAAAATACTGAGGAAAATTCCAGTTTAAGGCGGGAAGAAGGAACCAAGAGAG